TTATGGTGAAATTATAATATTTTTATCGCTTTAATTTTCTCATCATATTATTATTAACAAATTCAAACTAATTTTATATATTTAAGTACAATAAATAGGAAACACATAAAAAAAACAATGTGATATTTTATAGTTGAAAGTGAAAATAGAAAAAATTTTCTCAAAGTTAATTTGAGAAAATTTCTACTATTGTTACTAACTACTTTCTAGGAAATTTCCAACGTTAATTTGTAATAGATTTTGGGCCATCAAAGCAAGGACCACAGGTAAAATGTTTGTCCTTTAAGGTTTAGACTTAATTTGAAAAAATATTACAAAAATAACAGTTATATTATAGGTGATGATGAATTCACCTTTAATGGTAATTAATTACAAATAAAAATTTTATAATTAGATGTCTAAAAACATTTATTTAATGTCTTTTAATTATAATTAATTGTATTTTTATTAAATGGTATAATATGCTGTATTTATTTTACACTTAATTTTAATTAATTTTATCAACAATCATTAATTGTACATATTTATATTATTCTAAATAATTTTTCAAATTCAAAGATATATAAATTTATTAATATTTAATTAAAAAATTGAATTTAATTAAATTATACAACTATCTTATTTAAACTAAAAATCAATTATTTAATATCTTTTAATTATATTTAAATTTCAAAAAAATCATATTCACTACCGAATAATTAGTGATATGTTAACAAATTATATATTTTATACATGTGAATTATACTTTTTTTTTAAGTATTATATTAAAATATATCATTTAAAATTTATATGGTAGAATTATAGTATTTTTATCACATTAATTTTTTTATCTTACATATTTTTTTAGAGATTCAAACTAATTTTATATATTTAAGTACAATCATTCACACTTAATTCAAAAAAATTGATTACAAGTGTAACGACCTACCATGGTTCTTACACTCAGAGGAATCATGCTAATGATACTAATCATTTAAGACAAAATATTAAGTTGGATAACAGAATATACACATAAAGGAAGTAATAAAAGAAATTAAATATTTATATACGAAATATAGTACTATATATATACAGTCATCCAAAATAATACTGCCCTAGTGATGGTCAAGCACAGACAAAACAGTTACCCAAAATGATAACTCTGACATGAGGACAAAACTTCACATCTCGTAGCGGTCACTGCAACCCTCTCCAATCTAACCCTGACCTGCTCCCATATACAGTATGATCATCGCAGTCCATCCACATGGAAACAGAAGGGTAAGTTAGAGTTCAATAAATAACCATACAAGTATAGAATGATAATCTATACTACACAAATATCCAATCATATCCCAAGGGTTTCCCCCCTCAATCGATCCTCAACTTATCATTCATGAAGTCAAATATTATACACTTCATCATAATAGCAATCATGCAATAAATGCAACATAAGAGATATCAATGCATATTAATCATCTAATGTGTCATCACGCATTCATATATGATATCTCCCTAACAACAGAGCAGTATAAGTGACATCTTAATCCTATCGAAACCACCCCAACCGTTTTCATGTCCAATGCGTCCGCTTGGTTACAGCTAATCGGGATATAAATCCCTACTCGAGTTTACTCGAATGATGTCACTTACATACTTGGAAGTTTGGTTCCACCGTCAGGTATAGCACAGCTGGGTACAGGTTTACCACGACCTAGACATGCATTACCAAGTCACTTGTGGAGTTCATCCACCGGCTATCCGTAAGGAATCACGCACCTTTCCTAGTACTTGGTTAAGGGAATAACCCTCGACCTCATACCCTGCTCCAACACTAGCTAAGGACTTAGAGGAGACTCACCCAAACCAATGACCTATCCAAGCACCATACTCAAGAGACTCTATGTGAGCTCTTCCAGTTCGAAAATATTTCCCCTCTCCTCAAGTCCTTAGACTAGACACGTGCCATAAGGCATCACATGCAATAATACATCATACACTATACATGGTCAATCCACCATCATGATTAATATCATCCTCATATAAACATATACACATGTCATATCATATTTAAACATTCATATATATCATTACCAAGCATACATATGAATCATACATCACCATACATCATACATCACACATACATGATCCAACTTCACTCTTAAACATGCGAAAGCATCAATTTCAATCAACATCATTAAGCATATTCACGCCCGACGCAGTCAGTTTGCGCCCGGCCTAAATCCAACCCGAGAGCTCTAAGCTCTTCCACACCCAGGGCATTCAGCACGCGCCCGATGTCATTCAAATAAAGAGTCACAAGAGTCTTCACGCCCGACGCGTCAACCCTGCACTTGGCGCCATCTAAACAGAGACCTCCAAAGGTCTCCACGCCAGGCGCACCTACCCTGCACCTAGCGCCATATTAGAAAATGCCATACAGCTAACCGCCATCTGATATCACGCTTGACGTGCCTTTCCTCACGCCCGACGTGACTCATCTAGAGGCTCCCACCTCAAATCGCGCCCAGTGCGACTAAACTCGCGCCCGACATGAATTTAAAATGGCTACCTCTAATGATTGCACGCCCGGCGCCAAGAACATGCACCCGACGTAAATTCAAACAGCAACCTCCAAAAACTTCAAAAATTTCATCCAAAACCTGAAAATCAGGAAATCCAACCACATGCAATCCAAGAAACACAATACATAGATTCCATACAATTAGAAAGCGTCCTCAGATTCAACATGCACCCACCTGATGCATCAAAATCACCAAAAATTCCATTTTTCCCAAAACCCCTAAAAAATGAGAAGTTCTTCAATTCAACCATTGATTCTCAAAATTCATGTACCAATTGAGTTCCTAAACTCATATGCAACCAATCAACCTACATTCTAGCTTCCCTCACCTGAAGATTGACTCAGAACAGCCAAGGAAATAATAAGAAAAAGAATTTCTCCCAAAACTCGACCTGCGGACTTCAATCCACTAAAAACAAGCTTTCTAGCCTGAATTCCAAGAAAAGACAAAAGGAATTAGTGATTTAGAGAAGAAGAAAATCAAACAGAGAAATTTGATAAAGAAAGGAGCTCACGGACCTAGAGTCCTTCTCTCTAAAACCTCTCTCTAGATTTCTTTAAGAATAAGCTTAAGAGACTCCCTTCTTAGAGAAAACCTTATATACTCTTCTCTTTAGTATCCACTAAACCATGAACCAACTTACTATGTTACAACAAGAATAACCCTTATTTCACATGACAATTAATTATAAATGAAATTTTATAATTAGATGTCTAAAAACAATTATTTAATATTTTTTAATTATAATTAATTATATTTTAATTAGACAATATAATATGTTACATTTAGTTCACACTTAATTTTAATTAATATTATCAACAATCATTAATCGTACATAATTATATTAGTCTAATTAATTGTCCAAATTCAATGATATATATCAACTTAACTATATTTAATTTTAAAAAAATCAATTTATGTTCTTGTATATTATGAATATTAAAAATCATAATATCTTCATGTTTATAATGACTAATAACAAAAAAAAAAGGTATTTTGTGCAAAAGAAACGTGGATTATTTTTAAATAGATGAAAATTCTTTTCTTTTCTTTTCTTTTTTCCAGTAGAAAAAAATGTGGATTATTTTTAAATAGATGAACAATTTTTTTAGTAAAAGGAGCAGTTTTTTTTTATGCATGCTTTTTCCCCTTTGTATTTCATCCTTAATATATATATATATATATATATATATATATCAGTAAATTAAAAATTAAAATATAAAATAGGAGTATAGTTGACTCTCTAAAAGTGAATATCAAAATAATCCATCTCCTTTATTTTTTGTTATAGATATGATATTCATATGTTCTCAACTTCTCACTTAAAATTAAAATTAATAAAATCTTGTTATATTTGATAGTTTATACGTGATAAAGTTATAACAATATTAACTTCTTTTTTTTATCTTATTAATTCTTACTTTTTTTTATTACATATTTTACAAATGATAAATTCAAGTTAATGTTTACATATTTAAATATAATAATTAATGTTTAATTTAATAAAATTAATTACAATAATAATTGTTATATTAAAATTTATACTGAGTTAACACCTGATTTTAATTAATTAAAAATATATAATTAAATATCAATCAATTTGATAATATATATAACTGTTTATTTCAGAATATAGCATACTCATATTAAAAATAGTGTTCTTTCATATCTTAAAACGTTTAATAAGAAAAACATGTTTAAAAAGAATGTTCCAAAAAAATATAAATATCTATAAAAAAAATATAATGTTAATAATTATGCTAAAAAAAATTAAATGTTACATTATTATTTTAAATATTGTTTCAATAAAAAATAGATAAAAACTATTAAAAAATTAATTATTTATAGAAGAAGTTATATTTAAAATAACACATAAAATTATGAAATTATATATTTAATATGCTTTTAATTAGATAAAATTTAAATAACACACTTATTTACATGTGCATCGTGCATGTCAATGTCTGGTTAATGGTAATTTATGTACTTTCTTTATCCATTTTGTTGGATATTTTGACAACAATTTTTGTTTATTTTAATTTAATTGTTGTTTTACTATATCAATTCAACATTAATATTTTTTCTATTATATTTTTAATCTTTATTATTGCATCCTTTAATTATTTGTGTGAATTCAAAATGTTTAAGGATAATTTATTTTATGAAATCAGACATGTTAGTTGCATTTTAAGTTTTGTGTCAAAACTTTAAATATTAAAATGGAATGAAGGGAATAATGCTTAAGAGGTGTTGATATAAGATTTTTGAAATAATTAAGACAATTAATTTATGGATAGAAAAAATAGAGTTTATGAAATCTCATAAAATGTCTAATATATTCACGTTATAACAATTTGTACATTATTATTTTTCGTGTTTATTTTTTTTTCATTATAAATAAATATAATAAACGATGTGATGGCAAAAGAGAGACAAAATTAATTTACAAATTGTTGAAAATTGAACAAATATCATTAGGCCTACTTCATTCTTATCCACCAGAAGGAACCAGATCAAGAAAACCTAAAAAAAAAAAAAAAAAAAACATGATGCATCCATCATGAATTGAATGAAGTATAAGCAGTGCTGCGAAAAGTTTTAATGGTGCATGCACTAAGAATTTGGAGAAGCACCGGGTCGTTGGTGCACCTAGGGGTCTTGAACTGACTCAGTGCTGAACCAATATTGGCCAAAAAAGAATCCAAAATCTTTCTGAAAGTTCCTCTCTCAACAATGCAAAGCACCAAAGGCCCTATTGAACTGGCTTTCCTTGCAACCACATAGCCATGGTCAACAAAAGCTGCATCCATTTCTGTGCAGCATGCCTCAAGCACCTCGTCCTCGACCTCACCTTTGATCTCCCAGTAAATGACATAACATCCTGGTTGGTTTGAGAGATCTGCATTGCTCGTGAAATCAATCAGCTCAGCATTGGCCTTGTTATTAGTTAGCAGCTGTGAAGCCTTCTCTACCACCATTTGAAGGTCTTTCTCTGTGGTCTTGTCTATGTTCACTATTAGAATTAGTTTTCTTCTGCATATGAATTTCAGTTTTGGGGTCCCATTACTTCCACCACATCTCCTAGTCTGTACCTGTACAGCCCTGAAAGTCAAGAAAATAGTTTAAACAAGGAGTTTTACACTGTAATTAAATCAGAAATTACTGTATATAGATGTGTTTATCAATATATATATATATATATATATATAACTACTTAAAAATAATACTTGTTACGGCTATGATTGGTTTTTAGTATAATTTTTTACATTATTAATACATAAAAATTAATTCCTCCTATATTGACTCACGGACTATATATTTGTTTATTATGAGTTTTATAGTAATGACTTTATAGGTTTTATCTACAAGAAATGGTTGTGAAAGTATTTGAGTTTTACTTACATTATTTATAGGTAAAAATAAAGTTTTTATTTTACTTATAATCATCATTAATTCTGTAACAACAAAACATGTAAATATTGGTCAATTTTCTTGGAGTCAACTTTCCAAAAAGTTATATGTATAAAGGGCTTAGTGGTCATGCACCGTAAAAGTTTTTATATTGTCAATAATCAAAAATCATTTTTAATATAATTTTAAAGATAAATTTGTAAAAATCAATAAACTTTTCGAAAATGATAATTTGTAGTTAAATAATTGTGTAAAATTGTTTTATATTTTAGTGTATATAATTTTTCTCGTGTATAAATTGATTCTGACTTATTAAACTTCTTATTTTCTTCTCATGGAAGTATTAATTGAGAAGTTTAATATAAAAAAAATGATTTGGTCTAAATTAATTCAGTATTTTTTGAAGAAAAAAAAAATAAAAAGATAGTAGATTTCACATCTAAATTAAAATCAATTTATGCGGTTGTTATTTTATAAGATTTTTTTTCATTTAACTTTTAGAAAAAATGATACATGGACAAATTTCAATTTTTATAAAAAAAAAAATATTCATATTACTTTATTTTCTTATTCAATAAGTATCTGTAGTGAAATATATAGACATATTTTATCCTACCATCAATTTAATTAGGTTAAAAAAATGATCATTTAATGTAACATTAAAAAAATAACTAAAGTTAAATTGTTCTTTACGAATGTTCATTTATTTTAATAGTATATACAATAATCTCACTGAGGGGATTTTTTTTTCACCTTTAGAATTCATCTTTGGTTGTATAAGTTGGACTACCAGTTGGACTAAATCTAAGCACTTCTTGATAATTAACATAGTTATAATGAGAAGGATTACATTCCAGTTTGCATATGGAATTTTGAAAATGACCATTTCTGACAATGTCATGGTAAATCCTTGTGAGAACTCAGAATAGACTGGAATGACAGATATGTATCATAAAGGAAAATAACAAAAAGCCAAAGGTTGCGACATATGATATGAACAATCCCGTGGGATGTGGGCACACAACCCCAAATTATGACCAACACCCGCAAGAACTTCAGAAGTTTTCAAAACCCATTTGCAGAAAATATATTGTATTTCAACTATACATCGATCTGACATATCTAAACTAACTTTTATAGAGCTGTGTAACATTATCAAATATAAGAGATAAGGTTCAGCCTAAATTTTTCGGTACATATATATCCTGTTGTTAATGTACAGCTGAGGGTCAAATAGCCTGTTTATTTGTCACGTCTAGGTAGTTTTCTTTATGAACTAATGTTCCACGCTAGGCATTATTTTATGTGAGGACAATGCTTCTAATCATTCCTGTCTAACCGAACAGTGAACAAGTTTCTTTTTATCTTATTTTTAATAAGTTTTGCACAAAAAAGTTGTCTTCTTAATTTATTAAGCCTTATAGTCAAGTTTATGATTAGACTCTCATTTTGATAAATCATGATCCATCAGAAAGCATGTGCGGAGTAAATTGTGAATTTATACAAGAGAATAGAAGAATAAATATTTACCAGTGAAAGTTGTGAGCACTATTTCGTACTCTTGGCCAACTTTAACCTGGGATAGTGGGATTGGCTTGTCTTCCATGAAATCATGATGATTGGCTACTAAGTTGCAATCTTGTTTCTGTCTATAAAGTGGTAAGAACTCGAAGTAAGAAAACGTGGGCACTACAGCAAAGGTTACTTTCTCTGGAGGCAAACTAGGATCCACATTAACCCCGATCCAACTCTCAGTTGAACCATAGTCAGCACCTATTAGTGGCATCCCATTTGCATAATGCCTAAGCTTTTTCAAATAAGGTTGCATAGAACCTGTCATTATGGAACAAACGTACTTGGCATTTGGCCAAAGTTTGGGAATCATACCAAACCAATCCACCACTTCTAGCTCCAAGCAAGTGGCTTCTAGTTTTGAGGCCAAAGAGGGGTTTGGCGATATGATTCCCAAAACAGCCTCTCTCATTTTGGGTAACTTGATTCTTGAACTCAAAGTACCATCTCTTATGTCATTGCAAAGGTCTTTCCAAACCTCTTCGAATATGCAAAAAGCTTGCACTGTGGCATAGACAAAGGTTGAGGAAATAAACTCTATGTAATCAGAGAAGAAGAGACCAAGAAGGAGGTGGCAATACGTGGATTGTTTATAGTCCCCTCCCGAAATAACTTCATAGGGGCTGCAAGTGAATGCCTTTGTTTTCTCCTGTTTGATTTTAAATTCTTCACTTGCGTAGACGTGTGCTGTGGCTGTTCCAACGGTTAAACCTCCTTTTGTTTTGAACTGTTTGCTGCTGTATATGAATTCAAGAATCTTACCTCCTTCCCTTGTGGGAAAAACCCTATAAACAGTGAAAATTAAAGAAGCATAAGAACTTCAAAAATACTATGTGACATGTGTATATATCCCTTAGGTAGCTAGGTCATCATGACTTGTGAAAGAGATGAGACTTAAGAGAAGCGCACCTTGATCTATAGGCTGCTGCTAAAGTCGAAGTTTGTAGGGTCATTTGAGCACTATGGCGGGTAAAGGGTACGAGCTTCTGCCTTCCCTCTGTGGTTCCAGAACTGCACAATCTTTACCTTATAAGATTATCACATAGTGGAGGAAGATCTGACATATTTACAAGGAAAGAAAAACCAATCTTCTTAATATATCTAAAATAAATATGCATGAGCATGACAAGACTGCCATAGTTAATTACTTCCAATTCCTTAGCTATTATCAATTGATCTGGTTTATTAACTACTTGCACCTGCCCTTGTCATTATTATTAAATCATGAAATAAATGTAAAGGGATAAGGAAAGAGCCATATACGGTCTGGATTTAACATTCTACATTCTGATTTCCTCCATCACCCAAAAGAAGAAGAAAAGAACACAAAACTAATAGCACTACAATCAATCTCATATATCACCCAAAAGGGGTAGGAAGAAATATAAAAGGAGCAATTACACATGTATAAATAAATGAAGGTAATATACGGTCTTTAGTCAGATTTTTCGAAATTACTCATTCACAAATTAGTCAAAATTGGTGAATAGATGATCAACGGAAAAAAAAAAAAAAAAAAGACTATATAGTACCTTAAGGAAAGCGTGGTTATGGGTTGTTGTATGAGTATAGGAGTGGTGTCTCCATCTGCAATTTTTTGGATATACGGATCTAAATCTGCATGAGAAGCAAGGGGAACCACAGAAGTAAAAAGAGATTCCAACGCACAAGCATCCATCTCTGAGACATTGTAGCTCCCCAACCATTTCTTCAGATATTCCACGCCACAGTTCTGCCTCAGAATCCGGCATAGCGTCTGAGTCTGAGTAGAAGCGGCGTTCTTAGACACTTGTTCAAACCAGGAAATGATATCAAAGTCGCTGGTGCAGTTGCCATTGGCGGTGGTGGTGCCATTACTATTGTAACTGTGGACAACTGAGGGTTCCATCGAAGTGGTTTTAGTGCTGCTGGCAAGTTGCTAAATATAACAAGTGCAATCAATTTATTAGCGTTGGTGGGTGCCCGTTTCCATAGAAAAAAGCCAAACTAGGAGCCCACTATTGAAATTTCTCTTTTATTTTTGGTTATCAATCAATCAAGAACAATATAATGTCCCAGTATTCAAAGGGTTCAACAAGCCTAATGTTTCAGAATCTCCACTGGAGAGTGGTACGATCGTTTGTAGACCACAAGATATAGGGAGAGAGATTCTTCGTTTTATGGGGACCAAACCCCACCTTTCATGACAGCTGAAAACTTTCCTTCCCAAATTTATTGTGAGCCACAGTTAGAAAATGAGACCTGCGTATTGTTAAATATTATGATGGCCGAAAACTTTCCTTCCCAAATTTATGTGCATGATAAAAGACATTTTCACTCGTATGATCTTCTTGCGTGCCATGTCTTTCTCCTCTCACAACCTGCCTCTTTCTCACAACCTGCCTCTTTGCTCTCTCGTATATTTATGAAAGTCAATTATTTATTAATTATGTTTATTAATTATGGTAGACTTTGTTTGCAAATTCCCTATTCCACGTATCATGCATATATATTTAGACTTTAGTTATTTACTGTTAGAAAATAAATTTAATAAAGCACAAGAAAAATAAATATTTAGATTTATTAATAAAACTAATATCAACAACACAATGAATATTATAAAATTAAAACAGAGTAATCAGTAACAACTAGTTAAACACAAAAAGTAAATAAAATTATTGGATAAGAAGTTTAGAGTAGTCTGGGTTGAAACACGCAGAGCGCTATCCTTAGAGAGAAAACGCCCCCACTGCACCGGTAATTTTGAGCCTTATAGTGCGCTCCTCTCCCAAAATACGTCAACCCGTTAGACCATTCGAGTGCTCTCCCAAAATACGTCAACCCGTTAAACCATTCGAGTGCAGCGAAAGATCTCCGAACCAAAAAACACAGCTCCAAAATTATAATTTTGTAGTAAAAATAATATTGAGGGAAAGATAAAAATAAACTTTTTCTTGTGCGTCTATCTTTTACTAGGCCTTATATATATACAAGAAATATTATTATTTAATCTAAACTTGGAGGCCAAGAGAAAGATGCTGAACCTGAACGTGCAACACACTTCGGAAAAAGCACCGTCCATATTCATGCCGTTGGAAGGAATAACAAACATATATATATATATATATATATATATAAATGGAAAGGGATCAATTTACTCTTAGAGTAAGTCTTGATAAACTTATTTCACT